TAAGGAAATGATTTAACAGGTTGCGGACATACATGTAATTTTAAAAAGTGAATGTGAGTGAGTGAGTGAGTTGGGTTTTACGCCGCTTTTAACAGTATTCCAGTTATATCACAGCATGTCAGCTTAATGTGGGAGGAAAGCCCGAAGTGATGCAGATCTCGGACATTTACCACTTCGGTGAAACCAACGAGCACGGGGATAGTCAGCGAGTCTGACTACCTGATCCACTTAGTCACCTCTTACAACAAGCATGGGTTACTTAAGACCAATTCTAACTCAATCTTCAGGGGTCTAATTATGTTGCAAGGATCATATACACAAACATCCAGACTTACCGTGAGTTAATACCACTTTTTGCAATATTCCATCAATATCATGATAGTTGGCTTTACACATTACACCCATGTGGGGAATCAAACCTTCAAACGAGTGAACACTTCAACCGCAAGGCTACCACACTGCCCAATTCAACTTTCTAAAGCTAGTGGTTTCAGAAGAGGTCTTGAAATTCTGGATTCTCAAGATGAAGACAAATATTCAAATGTACAAATAATACCTAAAACATTGTTGAGCAGAATATGACAACGTGGTTGCCACGGCAATACAAATGTCCAAATTTGATCTTAATTGTAATATCCTTAAGTTTATAAAATAATAATAATGGGTGAATTTGGCAACACTTTTGTCAATGGCAGGGATCACCAGAATGGGCTTTACACAATGTACCCATGTGGGGAATTGAACCTGGGCATGACAACCCAACGCTTAACCACTGGGCTACCCCATTGCCACAGTAATGATTCTAAAGACCACTTCAATCCTTCATCATACTAAACTACATCCCCACCAGAATGTCCCCTTTTCACTTCCAGTTCAGTGTATGCTCCATCCCACAGCTGCACTAGGAGGCACCACTCAATCAATGCTAGCAGTCAGATCGTATCAACATCGTGTCGGATCATATCAACATTGTGGCGGAACATATCAGCATCCGATACACAACCATCATGAAATCTTGATATGAAGGGTTGTTTATTGGGCGTATCTCATCTCCCTAATGTAGCAGCAAATTATGCTGGGACAAAACTCCAGAGCAGTCTGGCGATTATAGTGCCATGTATATATGAAAGTAAACCTGTATAGCAAGTATAATTAATATCACTTTTGTTTTTTTATATCAGGTAGAGCCAAGAAATCGCAAAAGTAAACAGTCCTTTAACATGATAAGGTGCATGTTTTTTGTGTCACTGTCAGCAATATTCAAGCAATATCACAAAGGCTTGTCCAGCGCCAGGACTGCGGGATATATATATATATATATATATATATATATCCCGCAATTATTTGTTAGTCTACACGAAGGGCTGTAAATGGAGTCTGGGCCTGTATATATATATCCCGCAATTATTTGTTAGTCTACACGAAGGGCTGTAAATGGAGTCTGGGCCTGTATATATATATCCCGCAATTATTTGTTAGTCTACACGAAGGGCTGTAAATGGAGTCTGGGCCTGTATATATATATCCCGCAATTATTTGTTAGTCTACACGAAGGGCTGTAAATGGAGTCTGGGCCTGTGGTTAATTTCCTTCATTTAAACAGGTAACCTACTCACTCATAATTCAATATAATGCCATGGTTAAATATGCAATTCATCAATGTAACAAATAGCTAGGAGAAGGCTAAACTGAATTTTTTCACTTAACATTGTCAATATTTTGCAAAACAAATTGTCTGCTCTTTAATAGGTCTTATGTGTTCAGTTGTTAAATGCCACAGTCAGCTGTAGTGCAGGAAAGTCCAAGTGATTCAGGTCAGGAGTTTATCTAGGATTCTAAACAAAATGCCTTTGGCTGGTAAACTGGGAAAAAAAAGTGTCTTATTGTTCAAAATTGGATTTTTCAATGTTTTTATTTTTTTAATTTCAAATTGAGAATTTTTACTGTCATTTGCTGCAGACTCTGAGCAGGTCTAGATATTACCCACAGCTACCATCTTGTTGAATTCCACAGACATAGGTGAGGTGAAATTGGGTTTAACATCGCGTCCAAGATTATTGCTCTTATATAGTGATGTGCATGCATGCATGCGTGCGTGCGTCCGTCCGTGGCTGCTTGTACTAGTCCGGACTGATGCCGATTTAAAAGTGTAAGCTCACTGAGATACAAAGCCGCAGTTTAACATGAATACCCCACTCAGACACAGCATACTGAGTGAGCCAACCATTCCTTGTTTTAGCCCCTTAATGCCAAGCGCGAGACAGGGTAACAACAAGTACCATCTTTTACCGTCTTTTGGTATGACGCTCTCTGGGCAGACGCTCTACCACAAAACCACGGAGGCGGTCCAACAGACATAGGAATGGTGTTGAAAAAGCAAGAATCATAATCAGCTGATTTATTGTTTTTTGTAAATGCCCACAGCAATATTCCAACTATATCTCATTGTCTGTGAATAATCAAATCTGGACCTGACCATCCAATGACTGACATAATGAGAACTCATTCACACAATTGGGATATGATGACCAACCAAGTCACACGCCTGAACACCTGATCAATTAAGTTCCTGTTACAGTAAGCAGAGGTTGATGGGGACCTATATTCTGTCCCTGAAATCCCCACAAGTGTCATAATCAGCACTAATCTGGGACTAGAACCTACAATCATAGGATTCTGGTAGCATCTCTCACTACAGGGCAATCGGAGTTGTCAGTCTTGAAATGAGTGAGTTAGGATGCTTTTACGCCGCTTTTAGCAATATTCAAGCAATATCACGGTGGGGGACAGCAGATTTTGGCCTTCACACATCGTACCCATGTGGGGACATCAAACCTGGGTCTTCGTCATCTTCTTCTTATTATTATTTACAGATTAAAATAAAAAATGCAGCAAAGAGGGTTTGGGTGATCCTGGCACAGTCAGGCTGGTTAGGCTCATCCTCAGCTCAGGGCCCTTGCCCCCTGTGCATATATACCATGTTTTTCCTCAATCTTGTCAATCACATACTGTCGAAAGGGACAGAAAATTTAATGATATAAATTATTTCATTGGATTTATCAAAAATATCATTTTCCATGACGCCCTCTACATATTCCGGGTCGTACCATGGATGGACCTCTGTGTCAAAACTATTATTATTATTAGGGCTCCAAGCCGAAAGGAGAGCCCTATTGTAATCCTTTCGATTTATTATTATTATTATTTATCATCATCATCATTCCATGGAACTTAGACCACATATAAACAAAGCTCAACACGTGACCGTAGTCATCTGAGCCACATGTGAAAAACCATAGGTCCTAACCCTGTTCCAAAAAGTTCTTTGAACAAGACAATGTTGAGGAGCACCAACTGGACTTTGTATTTGGGTTTGTATGGAGACATTGGTGAGGCTTTTCTGGTACACTTACATTTGGTGGCAAGCCACAGCACAAACACACAACACAAAATGCTACAAGAGCTATCAAATTGCCTTCACACCAGCAGCTTCTGGCGTAACAGGAGAGGCCAAGTTCTTCTCCTTTATTACTTCTAAAGCTTTTAAAGTCTCTTTGATGATCTATTTTTAGCCTCTGGACAGCTGTTGGAATTGGAATGAGCTTATTTCTGTGTCACGATTGTGAACTAGACCGGAAAATCTCATTCCAGGCTTGGCAGCCACTTCCCGATTACATGTCTCAGGGAGAACTAGTTGACAATGTTGATTATGTTTGTGAATCATTTCTATTTGAGTTTCAAGTGGGAGGAAAACCCATAGTGATGCATATACTAGACATTTTCCACTTCCTTGAAACTTGTGACACAGCTATTCCACCTTCTGATGCAGGCCAGTTATGTCAACAACGCTGCCATGTGGGGATCCCAGGGTAGAATAGGTCCCCAGTGTCCCATGCTTGTCTCCCCGTACAGGGATTCTAGATCAGAACAGGCCCCCAGTACCAAGGCTTTTCCCTGTGTGGGGATTGTAGAGCAGGTCAGGTCCCCAATACCCATGATTGTATCCCTATGGAGAAACTAGGTCAGAATAGGTCCCAGTACTCCATGCTTGTCTCCCCGTAGGGATTCTAGATCAGAACAGGCCCCCAGTACCAAGGCTTTTCCCTCTGTGGGGATTCTAGGGCAGAAAAGGTTCCTAATACATCATGCTTTACCCTCAGATGGGATTGTAGGGCAGAACAGGTCCCCAGTACCCCTTGCTTGTCTCACTTTGGGGATTCTAGGTCTGAACAGTTTCCCAATACATCATGCTTTACCCTCTGATGGGATTCTAGGGCAGAACAGGTCCCCAGTACCCCATGCTTGTCTCACTGTGGGGATTCTAGGTCTGAACAGTTTCCCAATACATCATGCTTTACCCTCTGTTGGGATTCTAGGGCAGAACAGGTCCCCAGTACCCTTTGCTTGTCTCACTGTGGGGATTCTAGATCAGAACAGGTCCCCAGTACCCCTTGCTTGTCTCCCTGTAGGGATTCTAGATCAGAACAGGCCCCCAGTACCAAGGCTTTTCGCTCTGTGGGGATTGTAGAGCAGGTCAGGTCCCCAGTACCCATGATTGTATCCCTATGGAGAAACTAGGTCAGAATAGGTCCTCACTACCCATGCTTGTCTCCCTGTAGGGATTTTAGGTTAGAACAGGTCCCAGTACCCCATGCTTGTCTCACTGTGGGGATTCTAGGTCTGAACAGGTTCCCAATACATCATGCTTTACCCTCTGATGGGATTCTAGGGCAGAACAGGTCCCCAGTAGCCCATGCTTGTCCTCCCATCGACATCCTGGGCAGAATAGGTCCCTAGTACCCCATGCTTTTCCAAGCCAACTGACACTGGGAAGTTCAATGAGTGACCTGGCTGAATGTGTATGGCAATATCATATATGTTGCTGTCATCCACTGGTTGGCCTGGCCATGACGTGATTAGTAAGAGGGTGATGTTAATTAAAAGGAATGCTGCTGCTGCAGCGACAACATTCACTTACTCTGGTGACAACACAAACTCACCTGGATCATGGAATGGAACAAGAACATAGTTATACAGAGGCTTTTCTTTGCGGGCCAGAGCTGTTGCCAGGATTGTGGCAGCGCCTTCAGTCACTTGTACCAAGTCATCGTACATCGATCCCGTTATGTCAAACACAAATGCCAGTGACGCTGCTCCGAGAGGAATGTCCTCTTGCGATGCCACAAACACACACGTACATGCCACAAAACTAACAATAACCACCTGCACCAAATGCTGCGTCAAACAGCCCATCTTCCACAACTATCCTGAGAACATACGCTTAAACACAAAGGCCAATATTCCTGGGACTTTCCTTTTAAACCGTGTCTACCTGTTAATTGCAAGCCGCAGGTACCTCTAACTCAATTACACAATGTGCAAGTACTCCTCTGGCTGGCAATAGCACAATCAGCTGATCTCAAGCATGCTTCCGCCCGAATTTATCCCAAACATCTGCTGACAGTTTTCTCAGAATTTCAAACTTGGTTGTCAAGTACACAACTTTATCTTAGATCTTGCTACCATCTTGACATCAAAGGACTTCACTAAATCTTCATTACATGTGTTTAGAATCACAGATCACATTTCTTGAAGACTCCTTTCCAAAGAACACAATTTTTCACTCTTGGATTTTGATCAAAACTTAACTTTCTGGAGTCTGTTCTATAATGTGCTAAAATGCACATGCAAACAACGCACTAACAGATCTCCAGCAGCGACTTAGAGGACAGCAGGCATACTCCACAGTATCTCCTTGCCGTCTGCTCTGTGCGTCTGCTACTTGCTGTCTGCTTGTGAGTAAAGTGACATGGATACAATTACGCTCCCTGTCTTTCAACAAGCCTCTTTTCCTGCAGTGCCACTGATTAGGATCCTGGCCAGTTCCACACAAACCACAGGGGGGACAGCAGGTCATGGGCCTCATCCATCAGTAGTAAACATGACTTATATGGCTCACTAGTGATGCTGTCACCCCTGTAGGTGGACTCGTCTATTGGTTGAAGGAAGGGTTGTTGCTCTCTTGATGGTTAACGGCTCAGATTCCACTCTTGGCTTGTTGCTAATTTGTTTCCAAAACAGCCCACAATTTTAAATAGGTTTTTAAAATATTTTTTTTCAACTTGTAAACAGCTAGATCATTTGATCAATTTGTATATAACTACAGTATTGCCAACCTGTTGATAGGACCAATGTATAAGTCTCTCTTTGGATGTAATCTTCAGCTGGCTACTGTTGATCATTGTTTACGGCATCAATATTTTTTTTAAGGCATTGACATGAGCTGTAGGTGTCCGTTTCAGGGTAACTACAACTTTTTTGGACAAAGCAGTTCAAACTTCACTGTCAGTCAGTGAGTGAGTTAATTAGTTCCATGAATACATGGAACAGTATTTCAATTATAAAAACAAATTGTGTGTCCAAAGCTATGCAAAAGATCTTGTAAATGAGGGAGCGTTTGACATGGAGTTTAATTTCGCTTTGAGAAGATATTTCAGTAGCCTCATGTCAGTTTCGTAGGGAAGCTCAAAGTGAAAAAATGTAGTAGATGTTCACCCCTTCAGTCAAACTAAAGAGCATCTCAGTCTTAGTAACAATCTCTCACAGGGGCCCTTTCCACAAAAACAATGGTGGCACCACGACTGTCATTTTTAATCTATGCTAAAGCATGAGAGCTATGACTATCTTAGTATTGCAACTATCAGTCTATGCTGTAGTATGCGAGTTACGACTAAGCATTGCGTGTCTATATCTATGCTACAATATGTGAACTCTGACTCAGCATTACGACCATCATTAGTTTATGCTAAAGTATGAAAGTTACTACCGTCTTACAACTAAGCATTACAACTGTCATTAATCTATGCTAAAGCATGAGAGCTATGACTGTCTTAGCTTTACGACTATCACTCTATGCTCAGAATATGCAAGCTACGACTGGCTAAGCATAACAACTGTTAGTCTGTGCTAGAATATGTGAGCTACGACTATGTAATCTATATGGCTGTCATTAGTCTACACTAAAGTATGTGAGCTACGACTGTATAATCTTTATGGCTGTCATTAGTCTACGCTAAAGTATGTGAGCAACGACTATATAATCTTTATGGCTGTCATTAGTCTACGCTAAAGTATGTGAGCAACGACTATATAATCTTTATGGCTGTCATTAGTCTACGCTAAAGTATGTGAGCTACAACTATATAATCTTTATGGCTGTCATTAGTCTACGCTAAAGTATGTGAGCAACGACTATATAATCTTTATGGCTGTCATTAGTCTACGCTAAAGTATGTGAGCTACGACTATATAATCTATATGGCTGTCATTAGTCTACGCTAAAGTATGTGAGCTACGACTACATATCTTTATGGCTGTCATAAATCTACGCTAAAGTATGTGAGCAACGACTATATAATCTTTATGGCTGTCATTAGTCTACGCTAAAGTATGTGAGCTACGACGATATAATCTTTATGGCTGTCATAAATCTACGCTAATGTATGTGAGCAACGACTATGTAATCTATATGGCTGTCATCAGTCTACGCTAAAGTATGTGAGCTACGACTATATAATCTATATGGCTGTCATTAGTCTACTCTAAAGTATGTGAGCTACGACTATATAATCTTTATGGCTGTCATTAGTCTACGCTAAAGTATGTGAGCTACGACTATATAATCTTTATGGCTGTCATAAATCTACGCTAAAGTATGTGAGCAACGACTATATAATCTTTATGACTGTCATTAGTCTACGCTAAAGTATGTGAGCTACGACTATATAATCTTTATGACTGTCATTAGTCTACGCTAAAGTATGTTAGCTACGACTATATAATCTTTATGGCTGTCATTAGTCTACGCTAAAGTATGTGAGCTACGACTATATAATCTTTATGGCTGTCATAAATCTACGCTAAAGTATGTGAGCAACGACGATATAATCTTTATGGCTGTCATTAGTCTACGCTAAAGTATGTGAACTACGACTATGTAATCTTTATGGCTGTCATTAGTCTACACTAAAGTATGTGAACTACGACTATATAATCTTTATGGCTGTCATTAGTCTATGCTAAAGTATGTGAGATACGACTATATAATCTTTATGGCTGTCATTAGTCTATGCTAAAGTATGTGAGCTACGACTGTATAATCTTTATGGCTGGCATTAGTTAATACTAAAGTATGTGAGCTACGACTATGTAATCTTTATGGCTGTCATAAATCTACGCTAAAGTATGTGAGCTACGACTGTATAATCTTTATGGCTGGCATTAGTTAATACTAAAGTATGTGAGCTACGACTATGTAATCTTTATGGCTGTCATAAATCTACGCTAAAGTATGTGAGCTACGACTATATAATCTTTATGGCTGTCATTAGTCTAAGCTAAAGTATGTGAGCTACGACTATATAATCTTTATGGCTGTCATTAGTCAAAGCTAAAGTATGTGAGCTACGACTATATAATCTTTATGGCTGTCATAAATCTACGCTAAAGTATGTGAGCTACAACTATATAATCTTTATGGCTGTCATTTGTCAAAGCTAAAGTATGTGAGCTACGACTATATAATCTTTATGGCTGGCATTAGTTAATACTAAAGTATGTGAGCTACGACTATGTAATCTTTATGGCTGTCTTTAGTCTACGCTAAAGTATGTGAGCTACGACTATATAATTTTTATGGCTGTCATTAGTCTATGCAAAAGTATGTGAACAATGACTGACTTAGCCAAACGACTCATTAGTCTATGCCAAGCTATGTGAGCTACAACTGTCTGAGCACCGTATCTGCCATGGGTCTATGTTATAATCATCTTAGCGTTATGAGTGCTATATTTCTATGTTAAAGTCTGTGAGTTATAAGGCCTTCACGCTATGACTGTAATAAATCATTCTTAAAGTAAGGGATTTAAGAGTGCCTGAGCACTCAGATACCATTACAGAACTGGGTCCTTGGATAGCTTCTCACATGGTTAAAATTTGTGAAACATGGAGGTGTTGTAGTCCTGCTTCATCACTGATGCCAGCTGATTAAATGGATTTGTATTCTTGGGACTTCACTGTTTCCCTTTCATACCCAAACCTATAATTTCTTGAAGTCTTTGATGGGCATAATATAATTTCTTGTCTAGGTTAGTGAGTGAGTGTTTGTTGTTTAACGCCGCACTCATCAATATTTCAGCTATATGACGGCAGTCTGTAAGTAATCGAGTCTCGACCAGACAATCCAGTTATTGACATCATGAGCATCGATCCGCACAATCGTGATATGATGACATGCATCAACCAAGTCAGCAAGCCTGACCACCCGATCCTGTTAGTCGCCTCTTACGACCAACATAGTTGCCTTTTTGAAAAGCATGGGTTGCTGAAGACCTATTCTACCTTGGATCTTCACGAGGCAGTGTTTTAGTAACCCGGCAGTCAGTAATATTCCAATTACATCACGACAGTCTAGAAATCATATGAGCACCCATACAGGCCATAGAATTACGCTGACACAGTTGGGTCGGACATTGTCAACTGTGACAAGTACAAAAGCACACCCGCTGATGATATGTCTCAAATATATTTCACTTTCCATTTAAAAACAATCATTATCAAAAGACAAACAAGCAAAAAGTACAACATAAACTAAAGTTAGCATCCAGATGTCCTTGGTTTTAGATGGCTTATTTATAGCTGTTTTGCCCATGTGCTGAGTGCAGACACAATAAACACTGCACAACTGAGCCCGTCGCTGGGCTGACCCCGCAGCTGACAATCAGCGACAACATCAAGACACATATCTGTGACGCACTGTAGGCCAAGACCCTAATATAATGTGATGTCGAATTATGAAAAAAAGTAACCTACTAAGGTACCCAAGAAAGCTGTGATGGGAATGAGAATGCTAGAGCTGAGAATGCAAGGCTAGAGTTGTGAATGGGATGCTAGAGCTGAGAAGGGGATACTAGAGCTGAGAAGGGGATGCTAGAGCCGAGAATGGGATGCTAGAGCTGAGAATGGGATGCTAGAGCCGAGAATTGGATGCCAGGGCTGAGAATGGGATGCTAGAGCTGAGAATGGGATACTAGAGCTGAGAAGGGGATACTAGAGCTGAGAAGGGGATGCTAGAGCCGAGAATGGGATGCTAGGGCTGAGAATGGGATGCTAGAGCCGAGAATGGGATGCTAGAGCTGAGAATGGGATGCTAGAGCCGAGAAGGGGATGCTAGAGCTGAGAAGGGGATGCTAGAACTGAGAAGTGGGAAAGAATGGGATGCAAGACCTGAGAATAGAGCTGAGAAGGGGATGCCAGAGATGAGAATGGGATGCTCGAGTAGGGAAAGATGAGAATGGGATGCTCCAGTAGGGAAGGATGAGAATGGAATGCTCCAGTAGGGAATGATGAGAATGGGATGCTCCAGTAGGGAAGGATGAGAATGGGATGCTCCAGTAGGGAAGGATGAGAATGGGATGCTCCAGTAGGGATGGATGAGAATGGGATGCTCGAGTAGGGATGGATGAGAATGGGATGCTCGAGTAGGGAAGGATGAGAATGGGATGCTCGAGTAGGGAAGGATGAGAATGGGATGCTCGAGTAGGGATGGATGAGAATGGGATGCTCCAGTAGGGAAGGATGAGAATGGGATGCTCGAGTAGGGATGGATGAGAATGGGATGCTCCAGTAGGGAAGGATGAGAATGGGATGCTCGAGTAGGGAAGGATGAGAATGGGATGCTCGAGTAGGGATGGATGAGTCTTGTTTAAATCAAATCAAATGTGA